GGACATTTCTGACTAGTCACGTCGGCAGTCTCCCTTCGGTTTTTGCTTACTTGGGTAAATATATAAAAGATTCATTAGCCAGCAAGAAGGTGTGGGTGTAGATGATGCTCGGATGTGGCTGTCACGTCTTGGATTTGAAAGGTAGTTTTCCGGTCAGGCTTAAGTTCTGGATGTTATCAGTAGCCGTGTCATTAATTCGGGATGCGGATTCCTTTCTGGCTTATGAATCTTTTATATCTTTACATATAGTCATGTGGATACCCTTACTATGAGATTTCCGGGCACTACGATACAAACTATAATATCAAAGTTCATAGTGTAAATTCTTCGAATTGATTTCCGAATTAGCAATGTTAAACTCTAAGAGACATTGCAACCATTTGCTCAGACATTTTCACTCATTAAAACTATAATTGATTAAACATTTTATTCCATTTTTATTGGTTGGATAATAAAATAAATATGACAATACTGATCGAACCGTTGATCATCGTTTATAATGGTAACGTAAGAATACCTACGAAAATTTTTAGAAAATTGACTAAATAATTCTGATGCAAAGCGAATAATTTAATGAGTAAGAAGAGAAATGCTTCATTAATCATATCAAAATTGGATTCAAAAATAAGTAGTAAATATTGAGCAATTTTGTATACATGTAAAATAAATCATTATATTTTTTAATCAGGACAGCTTCAGAATAAATCAAATTTATGTTTTCTTAGTGAAATTATTCAAAAGTCAAACTTGAACATTTAAGAGGTGTAGAATTTGTCATTAAACTTACGAAAGAAACAACTGTAATTATAATTCCATCGTATCATTATAAACTCCGATATTAATTCTGGAAGAGTCACAATTAATTTCTAAAAGAATGACAAGAAAAATAGTATTCTTACTTCACTGATGAAGATAAATAGAAGTTTAGAAATAAACTAAATTCATCTTCATCGTCAATAATTGTTGTTAGTGCATATACGATGTAACACGAATTTGAATAACATATAGTTATAAGTTATAGTTGTTTCAAGTCATTCTTGTAAAAAAGAAAGATTACCATTTCTTGACAATGATTTGATGCTGAAATCATACTTTTCATTGTTAATATTACATTTAACAAAGTTTGAGAAGATGATCGTATTAAAACGTGCATGTTAAATCTTACAAGTTCCATACAGCAATCAATCGCGTTCAGTCATTTATCATAATATGATGTTGCACATAATTCAAATATATTTTCAAAATTCCGATGGTTGAAATCGAAATAATCTTTTCAATAAATCTTTAAAAAAATCTAGATGTAAACCATAGAAGATTTGTTGAAGAAGTTTTTCATCTTGACATGATGATGGTGGAAAGACTTCGAAATATTTAAACTACTTAAATTTATCTTAAAATAAATGAAAATAGATACGCTTATTATTCTTTCATTCTTCACAGGTGTAGATGAAACATAAACGATCAATTAGGCGAGTACGTCGATATGTTATTTTGTTTTCTGTATGACATTAATTGATTGATCTTAACAATGACTAGTAATTGTAACACTTACATTGTTGATCAATCACCCAAAGTACAATTGATAGCTAATATCAATTATCTATTTCGATTCACTAAAAATGCCTATAAATAGTTACAATTTTCAACGTAAAGTATCATTCCTCCTTTTCTTCTTCTTCTCTTACATTATTATATTATATTTTTTATTTTTTAACTATTTTAGCTTTTATTCGTAATTACCATTGTTCCATATCACAGGTAAGTATTATAGTTTTAGTTTTAAATTTTTTTTCGTTGTCTCAGCTTTTTACCCCATTTGTTTATTATTATTTTAATTTTTATATGATGATAATAATTGTCTTTCTATGTTCATTTTAGTTTTAATTTTACTTTTCTATGTTCTATTTTAGTAATACAAAAAAAGTAAGTATTCTTATGTATATTTATTACGTCCTACGGAGGCCTTCCATACATCGGCGTGAAACTGGCCAAGCCTACGTTGGTGCCCATAGCACGTACAGGCCGCATATAGATCTTCCTGTTGTATGTTCTATACACGCTAGATCTATGCCTGTACGTGAAGAGCCTTGGCTCTCTATGGCACCACCAAGATAGTTCTTAGTCGCGCGAGTGACTATTAGCTGGTAAGCAAAAAAAACCTTTTCTCATCCCATTCAATTCATTTCATCTCGATTTCTTCAACAGCAAAGTAAATTACTTTCTCATTATCTTATTCCAAACAAATAAAATTAATTGTTATTTTTATGTTTTAGTTCCATTCAACAATTCAATTCAATCCAAACGAAAATATTTACAACTGTATTTTTTCATGTATTTTTTTAGTTTTTTGTAACTTCTGTTTTTTTTAATTTTTAAAATAAACTATTCAAATAACTCAATTTTTTTCTTTCATTTCAATCATGAATAATTTCAATTCACCAGTAAATATTTTTATGTTAACAATAAATAATTACAAAATAACTCAATTTTTTTTACATTTGAATAGTACAAAATTTTCTTTTCATTTAAATCATAAAATTTTACAAAAGCAATACAAATTTTATTTCATTTCACTAATAAATTAATTTATTTTACTACTAAATTATTTTATTTTGCTACTAAATTATTTTATTTTACTACTATTTTTTTTTCACTTTACTAATAATTTTTTTTCAAAAATAATACAAAATTTTATTTTTTCATTTATATAATAAATATTTTCAAAACGACACAATTAATTTTTTTAACTCTAATAATTAATATTTTTCGCGAAAAATAATTTTTATTTAATTTATTTATTTTCATTTAAAAATAAATAAAAGAAGAAGAAAAGAAACATATGACGTAATTCTATATTTTAGCTCTTTTCTTTTCTTCGGAGCGAAAGAGTAAAAGAAAATTTCTATTTTTTTTCATTTATTTCAAAGTATAGAAAAAGAAACGAACAAAGAAAAGACAATTCACAAGTCTTATTCGATAGAAAATCGTTGAACACGATTATTATCGCCATCGGCGACATAGAGATTACCATGTCGATCGAAAGACAAACCACAGGGGCGGTTGAACTGATTTGCTCTTGCTCCCCGATAATTTCCACCCACAACTACAGTGCCTTGTTTCTTGTCTCCTTGAGTCCAACGCATTACACAACAATCCCCCGAGCCTATTACAAAGAGTGTACCCAAGGTATCAACGAAGATTCCGAGAGGATAACACAATTGTGTCAGAGCATTCCCTTTGTTTTGTCCTCCAGCGACAACAATACCTTCTTTTGCACCTTCCACCCATTTCATTACACGATGATTGGAGTAGTCTGATACGTACACTGAATGATCTCGATCGACAAAGAGATATCCCGGCACTTTGAGTTGATTAAGACCACCCCCTGCACCATTACCACCAGCCACGAGAGTGCCATTCTTCTCCCCCAATCGATATCGTCTTACTTCATCTTTTCCGACGGCAGAGACGTAGAGATATCTCTGCTCATCCATTGCTAGTCCATCACATCTGATGTCGTCGATGAGTATTTCACCTTGTGTCGTACCACTACGACGAGACCATCGT